CCCCAAGTTTCACTCCCCAGGTTTTGCTCCCAAGATTTTGTACCCCAGGTTGCTCTCTTGAGGTTTTGTTCCTCAAGTTTTGCTTCACAAGTTTCACTCACCAGGTTTTGCTCCCCAGGTTTTGTTTTTCCCAAGTTTTGCTCCCAAGGTTTTGTTCCCCAGGCTGAGCTCCCAAGTTTTGTTCCCCAAGTTTTGCTCCCAAGCTTTTTTTTCCCCAGGTTGAGCTCCCAAGGTTTTGTTCCTTAGCTTTTGCTGCCCAGGTTGAGCTCCCAAGCAAAATCATTAGAAAAGGTCCCCAAATCACTAGAAAAGGTCCCATGAAACAAAACCCCGAGTTATATCACATTTACTGACATGTCACAGCTACAACTCCCCAGGCTTTATTCCCAACTTATGCACAACCAAGTCCTTCTCCACCTGGAAATTCCACTTTTTCCCTCCACAGACCAGGCAGAGCCTTCCTGCAGCTTTCCTTGCTCACACCCCAGAGCTGCAGAGACCCCAAGGCCAGATTCCAGCAGCCTCCAGCATTTCCCCCATTTACCTGCGTGCACTTTCTTCAGCGTCTCGTAGGTGAAGAAGCTGAGGCCGGCGTAGGGGATGACGCCCAGGATGGTGGGCGTGAAGCCCCTGTACAAGGTTTTCAGCCCCTCCTCCCGGGATATCCGGATGAAGACGTGCACAATGCTGCTGTACCTGGCGTGGGGACACGGGGAGAGCAGACCTGCGCTGGTCAGCGCCTGGGCTGCTCCCAGCAGGGCGCCCTGATGCATTAATTGGTAATTAATTTGGATCTGAGCTCGTCGGGCAGCTCGGAGAGGGTTTCAGCTCTCCCACAGCCCTGCTGTGCTGTCTCTTGGGTCTCCCTGGATCCAGCTGGTCTCCCAGTATCCATCTCCTCCCACATCCACACCTCTGGACGTTGAATTGCTGCTCAGACCCCGGAGCTTAATCCCACCAAAGGCTCCCCGCAAGAAATGACCCCAAAAAATGGCAATAAAGCCACGTCACCTTGTAAAAAACCCAGAAAGTTGTGCATGAGGCACTTACATCTCCTTGGGTGTGACAGCCATGCGGGCACGGACCATGTCCAGCGGGTAGGTGACCATGGCAGCTGTGGTGCCAGCCAGGGAGCCAGCAATGAAGCGAGGGAAAGGCGTCAGTGCCCTGGAATGGGGTGAGAGAAGAGACCAGAGGTCACCTGCAGCTGCAAATCCCACCTGGCTGCTGGGAACGGCACTGCTCTGCCTGCTGGGCGCTCCCAGCCACCCCACAGGGAAAATCCATGGGGAGGAGAGGAGCTGGAGCATCCCCTCGCAGCTTCCTGTGCCTCAGAGCTTCCTCCTCAAAGGCTCCACCTTGGAGCATCTCCTCGCAGCTTCTCCCTTGGAGCTTCCATCTTGGAACATCCCCCTCACGGCTTCTCCCTTGGAGCTTCCATCTTGGAGCATCCCCTCACAGCTTCTCCCTTGGAGCTTCCATCTTGGAGCATCCCCTCACGGCTTCTCCCTTGGAACTTCCATCTTGGAGCTTCCCCCTCACAGTTTCCTCCCCCTCACAGGTTCCCTTCAGAGCTTCTTCCTCAGAGTTTCCTCTCGGAACTTCCCCTCACAGCTTCCCCCTGGTTAATGTCCACCTTGGAGCTTCCCCTCGCAGCTTCCACCTCAGAAATTCCACCTCGGAGTTTTCCCCTCAGAGCCTTCCCCCTCAGAGCTTCCATCTTGGAACTTTCCCTCACAGCTTCCACCTTGAAACCTCCACCTCAGAGCTTTTTCCTCCAAGTTTCCACTTTGGAGCTTCCCCTTCACAGTTTCCACCTTGGAGCTTCCCATCACAGCTTCCCCCTTGAAACCTCCACCTCAGAGCTTTTCCCTCCAAGTTTCCACTTTGGAGCTTCCCCCTCACAG